ATTTTTTTTGTCTTTTCTTTTTTGGTACTGGGGATTGAACCCAGGACGTTGCACTTGCTAGGCAAGCGCTTTGCCACTGAGCTACATCCCAGCCCAGTGCTACCAAAAGTAAATACATCAATGTTTCTTTCCACTGTTATATTAAAATAATAGAAAATTTAATTTTTTCACTTAAAATTTTCATTTGAGTATTAATAATCAGATTTGAGAAATATTAAGAAAATAAAAGGAACTGTTTAAAATAAATATTTCCCCCAAAAGATAAAAAATTATGGAATAATGATATGGACGTGGAAAAAAGAGGGAGGACAAAGCAAACAAGGAGCTAAACACTGACCCTCATGTGTGTGTAGATGAAGTATATGTGACACAGATGGACAAATTCATACAAACTATAAATATTTACTGAATATATTTTCAAGAGTTTAAGAGGCAATGCAAATTCTGTCTGAAAAAGTAGATGTACAGGATTTCTTCTTTAATATAGGAATTTATTCACTCAGACAACACTCTTCCTTTTTCTACTACACAATATCAAGGCAATGTACAACATTTATATTTTTAAATATCTTTATTTATTATTACTATTTGAAATTTTCATCATCTTTATTTTTTACATGAGAAAATGCTGAAAAATATATATAATGAAATGTATACTATTTATTTCAAATAATACCAAATTGAAAGTGACAATCAATAAACTACATAAACTTTACATAAAAATTATTCTTACCCCAGCTTTTAGTAAATTCCACGTATAATCTATTGCACAAATGGCCCCTGTTCTTCCACAGCCTGCACTAAGGATATAAAGTTTGAGAAAAAAATTGATTGTTACAAAAGAACTATGAAATGAATATGGCTGGACATAATAACATTCAAAAGCATAAAGTAAAAATTAGATAAAATCCTACATATTTAGTAAACAAAATACAACTGAAAATGTGTCCACGGTACCACTCTTACTGTTAACATTTCTATCTTTTAAAATTAAAGAAACTTCTAAGGACAAGAGTCCACAACACATGTAAGCCTTTGCTTCAGGAGTCTAATTCTACCTCAGAAATTCCTGTCTAGCTAACAACATTCAACAGAGATAAAATATGTTAAAGATGGCTCTTGTGTGTTGGATAAAAGGAAACTCAGGGCTGGGGAGTTAGCTCAGTGGAAGAACACCTGCCTGATAAGCACAAGGCCCTAAATTCAGTTCTCAGCTCTTGTGGGGAGGGGGGGGGGACCTCAATCATTTCAATCTACAACAGGTATGAAAGATAAAGAGTGTTATAAGCCTATAAACTGACTTGAGGCTCAGCAGTGACTTTATAAAAGAGTAGAAGGTCATCAAAATTAGAAGACAAAGAGCATTAAACTGAGAAAAACTGTAGGTAAGTGATTCTCAAACTACTACTGGGTACTACCTATATGAATTCTAAACCATTTTAAGAATAAAGAACTACTAATGGTATGTGGAGAATATTCCTTTTTATTTTCTTTTTTGTTGTTTTTGTTGGTCATGGGGCTTAAGAAAATATTTTTTTAAGTTACATTACTACATTATATGGAGGAAACTTTTAAAAAAATTTTTTTGGTTGGTCACGGGGTTGAACTCAGGGCCTGGGCACTGTCCCTAAGCTCTTTTGTTCAAGGTTAACGCTCTACTACTTGAGCCACAGTGTCACTTCTGGCTTTTTCTGCTCATGGAGTGCTGAAGAATTGAACTCAGGGCCTCACGCACGCAAGGCAAGCACTCTACCATTGAGCCACCTTCCCAGTCCCTCAAATCAGATTTTTTTTTCAGTCTCCAACATACTATAAGGATGGGAAAGGTTCAGGATCACCACCACCCACCACCACCACCATCATCATTATCATCATAGTAATGTGGAAATAAAGCCTTATTTAATATCAAACTTAAAAGTTCTGTATTTGTACATTCGAAAATTCTTTTGTACCTGCAATGAATACAAATAGGTACATCTTCATGTTCTTGGTATTTTCTCATTAAGCTTATCATATCCAGAATAGAATCGAATGATGAAGGAACGTCATGGTCTGGCCAATTCACATAATGAAACTGATAGAGCCTACGAGATTCCTTCAAGGAAAATAGAAATTTAATAATTATAAAGTATGTTTGCAAAATTTAAAACTTGTATCTCATATATCAATTCTAAGATATCACTTTACAAAATCAAATAAACTGACTACGTACTGATGCTAATGGCTTCATATGTAATCATTTAATCTCTATGAGTAAGACAGTATTGTAACTCCATTTTATGTGTAAAGAAATTGACATTGAAAGATTAAATAACTTGTTCAATGTTTTAAAGGAAGTGATAAGTTTAGGATGGAATCCAACAATTATACTCCACACGGTTTAATAAATAATACACCATAAGTACTTAGGTATAATTCATTTTAATTAGAAGACAAATAAGAGCATTAAACTGAGAAAGAACTTATAGTGATCCTTAACTATAGCCTGGGTACCATCTGTATGAATTTTAAGAACACTACTAAGATCTTGTTTTTAACATTTCATTTAACATTTTCTTTAATAGCTAGCTAGTGGAAAACTTGTTTCTGTATTCATGTTTTAAAAAATTTGTATTTCAGAGTTGGGGAGGTGTGACTCAAGTTGTAAAACTCCTGTCAGGCAAGGTTCTGAGCTCAAATCTCAATACTACACACCCTTAAAATAAAAAAAAAATTTTAAACCTCAGTTTTCATTTTGTTAACAAAATACTGAGATCATACTCAGGATCCATTCTATTTCCTGCAACTGTGGTAAGTCATTACCAAAATTCTGTTTTGAAGTGAAACTATAGTAAATCTAAAGCTGTAAGTCACATGAATAAAAGTTCTCTAGGTAACTTAATAATGTTTAAGAATGTAAGAGTCCTGATACTACAAAAGTCTTTTTTAAGTTTTTAAACTGTTACTATAAAGATGATGTACAGATCAGATGGGGTTACAGTTACAAGTCAGGTAATGAGTGATTTCTTTTTGGTCAATGTCACCCCTTCCCTCGTTCTCTCCCAGTTTTTCCCTCCTGTCCCCACCCACAAGTTATATACTTCATTTTCAATGCAGTGTCTAGTGAATACCAGTGCTGCATTTGCTCACCCTTTATCCTGGTATTTCTGTGGGCCTCGCCTCCCCATCTTAAATGAACAAATGAGACAAAAAGAAAACAAAAACAACAAAGAAAAAAAACTTGTTCCCATTTCCTGGTGTTCATTTTGAAACTGCTTTACATTGTTAGAGGCACATAGACATTATACCTTTGTGTTCTTTCCCTAAGAATATCCTCACTGTAAGTGAATGCCAGGAGTCCTGTATAATTTATCATGTTCCAGTGTATTTTACATCTAGCTTCCATATTACAAGCCTTTTGAGAATGACAATATCTCCCACTATGAAGTTAGGAAGATTTATATGCATGATATTGCTACAGAAATTTAGTAAGGTAATACTTATTATAACCAAAGTAAAATAAATAATTTACAGGGACATGATCAGGAAGGAATAAGAAGTATATTTGTCTGTAAATAGGAAGATAAGTATATTTAAAAATATGACCACACTGAGTTTTACTTTATGTTGTTCAGCATTGAGGACTGAACTTGAAGCCTGATGTATGCTAGATAAACACTCTACTTCTAAGCTACATTCCCAGTTCCTACTTCATTTGGCTTTGATGATCTCATCTCTTAAGAACTGCACACTGGGTATGATAGTTCTCACCTATAATCCAAGGTACTCTCTAGAGGAGAGGTTCAAGCTCAGCTCTTGCAAATATGTGAGACCCTATTTCAACCAATAAGCTAGATGTGGTGGTATGGCATCTATAGAAGGATTATAAAATCCAGATGGGTTAGGGGAAAAAAATATGGCACTCTATTTGAAAAGTAACTAAATAAAATTAAAAAAAAAGAAAAGTAACTAAATAAAAAATAATTAAAGGCATGGCTCAAGTGGTAGGGCATCCATCAAGCAAGTGTGAGGCTCTGAGTTCAAACCTTAGTACTGCTAGGGGCAGGGAAGTAGTAAACAAGTAAAACTGATTAATAATCATGTAAACAATAGTATGATTTGCTTACTGCAGTTGAAGAAAATTATCTGCAGTAAAGAAAGCATAATAATCTCACAAATAGATTTAGGAAAAGCTAAAATTATATCACTTTGAAGAGAAAAAGGCTTAAAAAACTAAAATGGTATACTGGAGTTTCTTCATTATTTAATGTAAGTAAAAAATAAAGATGTTTACTAATTTATATATTTTCTCATTGAAAACTGCAGGGTATAGTAGCCTCTGCAGGAGGATTTTCTGTTAGTTGCCAATTTAGGTAATATAGTAATATAGTAAGAACCTGACTCAAAGAAAAAGTCTACTGAAAACTATTCTTAGATTATCTCTAATGAAACTTACATTTTGAAATTCAAGTAACAGTGTCCTAATGAAGTAATCTGTTCTTGCTTGTTCATCTTCCTAAAAATAGAAACATCTGTGAGTCAATGAAAACATTAAAACAAAACACAAAAACAAAATACTTTAGGTCCCTAATCTAAAATTAACATTTAAAATTCTTGATGCACCTAGTAATTATTTGCTTAAGCTTTAAAAAAAATTACAACAGTATATTAGTGATAGAATTTGCAAAATATACTTCCATACATTTGGGTTTTGCATAGGATCAGTCACTGCAAGTAGAATAAGGAAGCTTTGCTTTGTGTATTTTAGACATGCACTCAACTAGGTATGATTCAAAATAGATTAATGCTCCCTTTTTATCATTACATGCAGCTAAAAATTGCCAGGCAGTCCATAAGGCAGGACCCAACCCAGAGTCATTTGGAGACTAACAGTGCTGGGCCTACTTGGCCAAGACATAGTGTTTAGCTAAGTGTCCAGAGTATACAAAAAGTCCTGTTTGGAGGCATAAGGCCTCCAGCAAGAACTCAATGATGTCACTGCACAGCTTGAGTCAATTTCTATATCAACCTAGAGAATACTCAATTTTGAGTACAAATCTCAGGAATTCAGAAGTTTGAAGCATAAAATTCTTTGTTCTTGCTATGGAGCAAGCAAATCCAGAGCCATTCACATGGTAGGCAAGTGTTTCTATCTGAGATATATATATCTCTAACCCCCAAAATATGGAATTCTTGAATTCTCTGATGACAAGTAAAAAAATCACAAAAATTGTATTTCATTTAACTACAGAAAACAAAGTAAAAAGCAATTCTGAGAATGTAATTCTGAAAAGTCAATTTTAAATGTTAGTCTGGGTAAACCACAGAATGCTAGGTTATTTAAACATTATTCTGGATGTTTTCAGATAATATTTAAAATGATGACTTTAAATAAAGCAGATTGTCCTCCACAGCAGAAAAGGGCATCATCAACCCAGTTGAAGGTCTAATTGGAACAAAACAACCAGTTCTCCCCAAATCAAGAGAATTCGCCAGCAGATTACCTCTATATGCAGCATCAGTTCTTCTTGATGCTACAAATGACTGTTTTTGGACTACAATTTAACACCACCTCTCTCCTCTAAGGGCTCCAGGGTGCTAGCCTTTGGACTATAACCGAAGCAGTGGACTCTCCTAGATCCCTCTACCCTACAGACTTTTACATTTGTTATCTCCATAATTTCATAAACCAGGTTCTTATAACAATCTCTCCATACACACAAAGACACCCCCCAACATCTGTGTGTTACTTTTCATATTTGCTAAATTATGTTCCTTTAAGTTGAGCTAATAAGCTATTATGTGTTTTAAGTGATTAAGAAATATAATGTAGGGGCTGGGAAGGTGGCTAAGTGGTATAGTGCTTGCCTTGCATGCATGATGCCCTGGGTTCGATTCCTCAGCACCACATAAGCAGGAAAAAAAAAAAAGCCAGAAGTGGCGCTGGTGCTGTGGCTGAAGTGGTAGAGTGCTAGCCTTAAGCTGAAGAGCTGAGGGACAGTGTCCAGGCCCAGAGTTCAGGCCCCACAACCTGATCCCCCCCCCAAAAAAAAAGAAAAGAAAAAGAAAGAAATATAATGTATCACCTAAAGAATTGTTCTAGTTTTAGGCTCACTTTTTTTTCTTTTCTGCTTATTCATTTTTCGTAATCTTTCTTTTTTTAATTCATTTTCTCATATTTCTGCTGTGTTGATTTTGGAGTTGAAATTAACTCATTTCCAGAGATCATTAATTAGCAAAGTATTTACTTTGGGTATGTATCAAACTATTTGCCAAAAACATCAATTTTTTTTACTTACAAGATGACAGTTCAAGTGTATGCTATACACATGATTATATAACATCGTTGGGGTTTAATAAAGATTTTAGAGGTTTACTTGATTTCACTCTACATCAATTATGAAGAGCCTTTACCATTTATCTGACATGAGATGAATATTTTTGACTAATTTTCAAATAGATCAAAGCATAGTTACTCCATTCGGTTTTAAACACACACAAAATTATTGTCTACAAATATACAAAATTTACACAAGCTAATATAAAGCTAACATACTATTAACACAAGCTATATAAAAACAAACATTATTACTATTGGCTAGAAATGCATGCAGACCTACATGGAATATTTGGGTTATGTCAACCTAGGTTCATATTATAGTACAATTTAATTGTGCATCAGTCTAGTATGTCAATTTTCTGACTAATGTATATAAAAATAGGTACTTACACAAGAAATTTTAAATGGTGCAAATGTTATGGGGTCTTCTCCATACAAAGGCCAATAGCGTTCACATTTTTTCTGTGGGGAAATAAAAAGGTAGTAATCTATATGACAGGGTTTTGTTTTAAACTTTTACAAACATTCTGTGTCCTAGGGCTTTATCATGTTACTTCTTCCTCAAAACAGAAAAATTGACATGAGCAGGCAAGAAGCTAGGAGACCTGACAATTCAAATTTTCTTTCTTTTTCCCTTCCTTCCTTTCTTTTCTTGTTATTTGTGGGACTTGAACTCTGGGTTTGGGTGCTGTCCCTGCACATTTGAAGTTTTGAATTCAGGGCCTTTTGCTTGCTAGGCAGGCATTTCTGCCATTTGAGCTTTCTCCTCAAACCCTTTATTGCTTTATAGTTATTGTTGGATGTCACTATTTTTGCCAAGGGCAGGTATCAGAGCAAAATCTTCCTAATAATTATGTGTATAATCCTACTATCTTCTCATTTTAAATGGGCACAGAAACAGAATATTCAATATTCATTGATTTCTTTCTTTCTTCCTTCTTTTCTTTTCTTTTTTTGTTGGTTGTGTGGCCTGAACTCTGGGCCTGGGCATTGTTCCTCAGCTCTTAGCTCAAGGCTAGCACTCTACCACTTGAGCCACAGTGCCACTTCCAGTTTTTTCTGCTTATGTGGTGGTGAGGAGTCAAACCCAGGGCCTCATGCATGCAAGTCCAGCACTCTACCACTGAGCCACCTTCCCAGCCCTATTCATTGATTTCTAATATTAACTCCTACCATTTTAGAAAACTATGTTAAATTAATGAAGGCATAAACTCTATAGAAAATACAAGTAATTCAGATGCTAAGAAGTGATGTAATTTCTTTTATCAAGACCACAATAAACTGAAAGCCTGTAATTGACCAGGCAGCTTAACATTTATTTTAACTATTGCTATTTATAGTCACACTAGAACGTCTTGTTTCTTATCTAACTGTAGTCCATGAATTTCTAGGTTTCTACATTTTCTAGATTTTTTTAAGCTGATGTTAATGTCCATAGGACAACAACATAGAACTATCTGATGTATCATTTTAAGAGTAAATACTAATATTATAGAAACCTAAAACCATAGGTAATGCCCAAGTCTCATTAACCAGAAGCTTATAATAAATAAAATTACAGTATTTTGAAAATTATTATGTTTTCTATATTTTTCATATATCTAGTAATTTTAATATCTTAAAACAGAAAACAAGTTATAGAAATTCAAGTAAGAAATGAAAGGTACATCAATGACATATCTTTAACTCAGATGAACAGTAACTATTATTACAATGGTTTTTATATTTTAGGTACAAAACTAGTAACAATTGGCTGAGTACTAGTGGTTCACACCTAGAATCATAGCTACTCAGGAGGCTGAGACCTGTAAGATGGCAAATCTAAGCCAACTGGAGCAGAAAAGACTCCATTATCAATTAACCAATCAATGCCAGACTATAGGTAAGACTCAGAGCCATGAGCAAGCCAGCCAGCCAAGGAAGAACTCTGGAGTTCAAGTCCCACTTCCACAGTACAAAAACAAACAAGTAGCAATTAACGTAAAACAAAACAAAACAAAAAACTATGTTGGTCAAAATGCTAATAAATGATAGGTTGTTTGGATTCATTTTCTATGTTCATTATTAGTTCGCATTCAAAGTCAAGATCAAAGTCAAAATAGTCAACAATAAGCTGGGTGTTGGTGGCTCATGCCTGTAATCCTAGCTACTAAGGAGGCTGAGAGCCAAGGATCAAGGTTCAAAGACAGCCAAGGCAGGAAGTCTGTGAGACTCTTATCTCCAATAAACCACCAGGAAACCAAAAATGGCACTCTGGCTCAAGTGGTAGAGTACTAGCCTTGAGCTGAAGAGCTGAGGGACCGTGCTCAGGCACAGAGTTTAAGCCCCACGACCGGCACACACAAAAAAACGTGAATAATGGGCTGGGAAGGTGGCTCAGTGGTAGAGCGCTTGCCTCACATGCCTGAGGCCCTGGGTTCGATTTCTAGGCACCACATAAGCAAAAAGAAAAAAGCCAGAAGTGGCGCTGTAGCTCAAATGGTAGAGTGCTAGCCTTGAGCTGAAGAGCTGAGGGACAGCACCCAGGCCCAGAGTTCAGGCCCCATGACCGGACCCAAAAACAAAACAAAACAAAAAAAAAGTGAATAAATTCACAGGTCCTAACTCATTTCAGTCTATATAGGTTAAGAATATACTATAGGTCAAGAAATGTTCTAAAATGTGAAATTTAGTGAGCATGATGTTGGTGAAAAAAAGTTATAGTTTGGAAAATTACAAATCTCAGAGTAAGGAGGCTAACCCATCACATCAAAATCTTAAACAATTCTGGTTCCAAACATTTCAATAAATTTAATTTTTTGTTATTATTTTTTGTGGTACCAGTGCTAAGGATCAAGCCCAGAGCCTTGTGCATTGTGGTCAAGAACTCTACCACTGACTTATACTACCAGGCCAAAGGTTCCTGATCTACTATCATAGCACTGTAAAGCCTTTAAAAGGTTCAAAAATTTTACATTCAACATAAATTGTTTTTTGATCAAAAGCTATCACTTCTGATATATGTTATAAGCTCATTGATAGAAATTCTAAATCTTTTATTTTTATTTTATTTTTTATTTTTTTGTCAGTCATGGGGCTAGAACTCTGGGCCTGGGTGTTGTCCCTCAGCTCTTCAGCTCAAGGCAAGCACTCTACACTTGAGCTAAGTGTCAGTTCCAGTTTTCTGATGATTCATTAGAGAAAAGAATCTCGCAGACTTTCTTGTCTGGGCTGGCTTTGAACCTTGATCCTCAGATCTTAGCCTCCTGAGTAGCTAGGATTATAGGCGTGAGTCACCAGCACCCACTGAAATTCTAAATCTTAATAGTAACTTAATAATTTACTACTCAGAAGGCCAAGATCTGAAGATCACAGTTCAAAGCCAGCCTAAGCAGAAAAGTCCATTAGACTCTTGTCGCCAATAAACTACTCAAAGGAGCCAGAAATGGTGCTGTGGCTCAAGTGGTAGAGAGCTCATGCTCACCTTGAGCAAAAGAAGCTCAGAAACAGCACCAAAGCCCAGAGTTCAAGCCCCAGAAAAAAAAGAATGTTACCTGACTGAAATTTCAATTTCCAAATACCATTACTTAACAATATTACTCATTTTTTAGTTTACAGATGAACCATATTATTTTAAAAAACATCAAATAGGGCTGGGAAGGTGGCTCAGTGGTAGAGCGCTTGCCTTGCATGCCTGAGGCCCTGGGTTTGATTCCTCAGCACCACATAAGCAAAAAGAAAAAAGCCAGAAGTGGTGCTGTGGCTCAAGTGGTAGAGCGCTAGCCTTGAGCTGAAGAGCTGAGGGACAGCGCCCAGGCCCAGAGTTCAGGCCCCACGACCGGACCCAAAAAAAAACACAAAAAACAAACAAAAAAAAAATCAAATAAAGTTACCACAATTTTTTTTTCTTAAACTTGATCAGTCACATTTAGAAGAAGTCAAAGTTAATTACTTAGGTACTATTATAAATATAGTCCCATTTCCTACAATGAGAACCTCATAACAGTTTGAAACTAATTTCACTTACAAATTATATTAGTTACAAAATTCAGGGCAAGGGGACAAATCATGTCGTCCAGGAACAGGAATACTTTATCCTGGGTTTGATCCCCAGCACTGCCACAACCAAATCAAACAAAAAACTAAGAAGAAAATTTCCTTCTTTAAGATGGTTCAGCTTGGCACTGATGGCTCACGCCTGTAATGCTAGCTTCTCAGGAGGCTGAGATCTGAAGATCATGGTTCAAAGCCAGACTGGGCAGGGAAGCCCATGAGATTCATCTCCAATTAACTACCAGAAAACTGTACTGTGGTTCAAGTGGTAGAGCACTTGCCTTAAGCTGAAGAGGTCAGGGACAGTGCCCAGGCCCAGACCAAAAAAAAAAAAAAAGTACAAAAAAAAGAGGCAATGGTATTTGCAAAGGGAAGTAAATCAAAACATTTAAGCTACTTATGTTATACTTACAATATCATGAAATATTGGAAGACTACTAATATACAATTATTAAGTTTATCATTAAATATATTATGGTAATGTAAAAAAAGAAAATAGTTTATATGCTTTAAACTATGTTACTTCTATCAAATAACAGTGGAAATAGAACACACAAGAAAAGAAGTGCATACCCTACAACCATATGGGCTCAGAATATAATTAAATAATACATGATCAGAAACATCTATCCCTAGAAATATAAGGAGTTAATAGGTATACATACCCTTCCCATTTCAAATTCTCGACAGGCCATTACAATGATCTAAAAAAGGAGATGTACGGAATAAAGAACACATCTGTTAAACACAATTTTACTTTCTAAATAAAATGCTAACTTCTAGAATTACTCTTTAGGGCAACGAGCACTTGGTCTCTAGATATAATCACCTTTAATATGAAAAGTGTGATTTAGGGCTGGGAAGGTGGCTCAGTGGTACAGCGCTTGCCTTGCATGCATGAGGCCCTGGGTTCGATTCCTCAGCACCACATAAGCAAAAAGAAAAAAACCGGAAATGGAACTGTGGCTCAAGTGGTAGAGTGCTAGCCTTTAGCTGAAGAGCTGAGGGACAGCACCCAGGCCCAGAGTTCAGGCCCCACGACCAGACCCAAAAAATAAATAAATAAAAATAAAAGTGTGATTTAAAGAAGCTATTAAAACGGTATCTTCCAAATAAAAGCCCCTTTATACTGCAACAAACTAATCAAATTTAATAAAATTAAAGGTTGAAGCTGGGTCAACAGTTCATGCTTGCAATCCCAGCTATTCAGGAGGTTCAGATCTGAGGATTGTGGTTTAGAGAGCCAGCCAGCCCAAGCAGGTAAATCTCATGGAGTCTCTTATCTCCAATTTATCAGCAAAAAGTCGAAAGGAGAGAACTAGCTCAAGTGGTAGAGAGCCACTTGAGCAAAAACATTAAAGGAGAATACTGAAACCCAGAGTTCAAACCCCAGAAGTGGTATGGATTTCTTTCTTTTTTTTTTTTTGATCGGTCATGGGCTTGAACTCTGGGGCCTGGACACTGTCCCTCAGCTCTTCAGCTCAAAGCTCGCACTCTACTACTTGAACCACAGTGCAACTTCCTATCACTGTTTTTAAACAAAAGTTATCCTATATCATCAGACTTGACTTTTTCTTTTTCTTTTCTTTTTTTCTTTTGTAAGTCCAGGGGCTTTGAACTCAGAGCCTGGGGACAGGGCAGAGTAGGGTTGTCCCTGAGCTTTTGTGCTCAAGGCTGGTGCGGTACCACTTTGATGAGTCACAGCTCCACTTCCGGTTTTTTAGTGATTCATTGGAGATAAGAGTCTCAAAGACTTTCCAGTCCAGACTGGCTTTGAATTGCAAACCTCGGATCTCAGCCTCTAGAGTCACTAGGATTACAGGCATAAGCCACCAGCACCTAGCCCCTTTGACATTTTATATGGAAACTTTAAAACTTGGAGAAAAGTTGAAGGACTGTTAGTATTTCACAGTGATTGCTTTATTATAGTTACTCCTTTACTAATCTTTAAAAAAAATACATTTTAACGTAAATTGCAGAAATCAGTATACCCTCCCTTAACTCCCTCAACATGCATATCATTACCTAGAGCTCAGTAATTTTTTTTGGTCGGTTGTGGAGCTTGAACTCTGGGCTTAGGCGCTGTCCCTCAGCTCCTCAGCTCAAGGCTATCGCTCTACTACTTGAGTTACAGTGTCACTTCCAGTTTTCTAGTGGTTTATTGGAGATAAGAGTCTCACAGACTTTCCTGCCTGGGCTGGCTTTGAACTGCAATCCTCAGATCTCACCCTCCTGAGTAGCTAGGATTACAGGCATGAGCCATTGGTGCCCAGCCAAACTCAGTAACTTTTATATTGTTTATGGTTATTTTCTTCTTGAGGTAAATTTTACTTCCAATTAAATACCTAAATCTTAAGGGAACATTCTAAGTCTTAACAAAATGCATACACCTGTGAAAATCGAAGTGTTAAGATGTTAAGATCTGACCACCATCCAATTTATAATTTATTCTTGTTTAAAATCTCATATAAAATAACACTATTGCCAGGACACTGGTGGGTCACATCTGTAACCCTAGCTACTCAGGAAGCTGAGATCGGAGGATCATGGTTCAAAGCCAGACCAGGCAGGAAAGGCCATGAGATTCCTATCTGTAATGAACCACCGAAAAACTAGAAGGGGAGCTTTAGCTCACAGTGTCAGAGGACAAGAAAAACAGGCCAGGGAAAGCACATAGGCTTGAGTTTAAGCCTTACTCCGGATGACCAACAACCAAAAAAAAAGAAAAATAACAACAACAAAACTCCACCACCTGAGATAACAGAGGGTGCCAGTGCTTTAGAATCATTTTAATCAATTTAATCATTTTAATTACACAGAAAAATCCTATTGCAAAACTCATAAAGACCAATGTGAGTTCTTTATTCCTGGATTTCATCATTCACACTCCCAACAATCAGCAATCAAATGTTTTAGGGTCAAGGGTGATACACAGTTGACAAAGGTGGCTATTTGCAGTTATCCTAAATCATATTTCCCTGCTTCCAAACCTACTGGCACACTATTTGCCTTCACCTCAAAGAGGAAGAAGAAACTGATGCCAATAGCTTAATATGTTATTAACTGATGAGTTTTAGTTAGGGGTAGATAGGGAGAGACAAATCCTAGTTTCTCTTACACTTCATGTTAACAATTTATAGTTATGTGCTTACACATGTTTCCTGGGAAAGACTCAAAAATGTCTGGTAAACAGACCAGTATATGACTTTAATATTGAGTCTCTCTTTCCCAGGAAACATGCATAAGGTGCATAGAGTAATTCATGAAAATATGAGACACATTCCTGGAAATTAGTTCTTTTTTCCCTAAATATTTGTTATAATCAAACATGCTATTATGGCTAAAAAATTCTCTCATTCTTTAGTTAGTAAAACATTCTATATCAAAATAATTTTAAAATATAAATGACTTACTACAACATTGTATTCCCATATCATCCTCCAAAAATCTATCACGGTATTCGCTAAAGGTCCTTGGGTTGCCACATATGCTTTTGGCCCATAGACACCCTAAAATAATTAAAAGTAAATTTCACATTTATTATGATTATAAAAAAAATTCACAACCAAAATTTAAAGTTTCAAACTTTATTAGTAATAATGTTTCACCTAAAAGTTTTCTAAGTTTTCTTTATAGTTCATAACAATACAGCATAAACATATCCAATTCATTTCAGCTTTCTGGTAACCACTGCTGCTGTTGTGTATTTATTAGATAGCCTATAAAGAAACTGATCATTAAAAACCATTCCTTACTTATTGAAAATTACTCACCTAAGAATGAAAAACTAACGCCTTAATTCTTAATAAACAAAGCTACCTTAGCAGTAATAGAAAGCATGACTCAGTTGTAAAATCAGTACTGAAACTATCTTGGCTGGTTTCTTCCATGGCTACCTCGGTTAATTCAATTTAAAAGTTCATTTAGTTAGGCGCCAGTGGTTCATGCCTGTGATCCTAACTATTCAGGAGGCTGAGATCTGAAGATGACAGTTTCAAGAAAGAAAAATCCCGAAACTCTTATTTCCAATTAACCACTCAAAAACCAGAAGTAGAGCTGTGGCTCTAAGTGGTAGAGCTCTAGCCTTGAGCAAAAGAGCCCAGGAAAGATGCCGAAGCCCCACAACTGACAAAAAAAAAAGTTCATTTAATATCTATAAATATGTCTGAAATAATAAACTCAAGAATAGATCAAATAGGAAATAGTTGACTAAAATAAAACTACCACATAAGTGCATCATACAACAAATCAATGTCCTGAAGTACAATTAAAAAACAGAATTTCTAGTACATGCTCAAAAACCCCCCAAAACAACCAACAATGACAACATCTGAGAGCACAAATCTACTATTTATTAGTTTGTGTTCTATTAATTTTAGTTTTTACTGCAATCATAATAAAACTGATAAATGTAAATTTTATTTCAAACCATGACTATCCACTGTTGACAAAGGCAGTAAAATTATACTGCATAAAGTCTTACTAAGTTTTGTTGACAAGATAACTTACTAAAATATCAAAAATACCATATATAAATTTAACAATTTAAAATGTTAAATTTAACAATTTAAAATGTTAGTTATATAATTAGAAATACTAAAATTAAAATAACCTTTTAATAAAAAGCCTTTTAATTATATTAAAATAAGTCTTTTTTTATTGTAAAAATACTGTACAGAGAGGTTACAATTACATGAGTAAGGTTAATGAGTACATTTCCTATTGAGCATTGTTACCTCCTCCTTTGTTTTTCCCCTACCATCTCTTCCCAACTCACCTCCCCAATTCTTCCCTCCCCTGCAAATTATAAAACTAATTTTCAACATAGTGTCTTGTACATCTCATTGTTACAATGATTCAACCCATATCCTATTTTCAGTATTTTGTTATTTACCTTCCCCTCCCCAAATTAGAAAAATGTATATACAAGATGCAGGGCACTGACATCAAATACAGTGAAAACAGGGGTTATACCATGGGGGAAGAACATACAAGAGAAACAAACAAACAAAAAAATCACATAGTACACTTTAAATACGTACGTTAAAAAGAATAGCAAGGAAGAAAAAAGCACTTGTGTCTCTATCTTGGGGTTCATTTCACTTATCATCTTATATGGTCATATGTAAATAGCTTTTGACCTTTTCTGCGTGTACTAGACTTATACTAGTTATAAGTCTTTATATTTAAACTCAAATAACAGTTGGCATCTCTACTGATAATTATTTTTAAATTATTTAATGAGGAAGAAACTGAAGCAGGAGAATCAGGAGCTGAAGGCAACCTAAACTATACAGTTCTTTCTCAAAACTAAAATAGCAAACAAGCAAAAAAATCACTTGACTACTTTTGACCAAAGAGAACCAAAGCTACCTAAAAAAAGACTATATTGCCATGCACCAGTGGTTTACATCTATAATCCAAGCTACTCAGAAGGAAGAGATCTGAGGTTCTAAACTGGGTTGCTCATGAAAATGTTTTCTTTTTTTTTTGGTTGGTCATGGGGCGTTTTGAACTCTGTGCCTGGGTGCTGTCAGCTCTACAGCTCAAGGTGAGCGCTCTACCACTTGAGCCACAGCACCACTTCCAGTTTTATGAGTGCATATTGGAGATCAGAGTCTCAAGGCGTTTCCTGCCTGAGCTGGCTTTGAATCACAATCCTCAGATCTCAGCCTCCTGAGTAGCTGGGATTACAGGCGTGAGCCACCAAGCCCAGCTGAAAATCTGTGTTATTCTTATCTCCAATTAACCACCAAAAAGCTAGAAGTGGAACTACGCCAAGTGACAGACCACTACAAGCCCAGGTCCTGAGTTCAAGCCCCAGAACTGGCATACAAGAAAAGACTATGTTAAATTTTGCTATCACTTAAAAACAGTAACAATTACTAAGTTTTTAAATTTTTAAAGTTAATGTTCTATAATTTTAAACCAATTTTACCTAGTAATCCTAGTACCAACAATTTCTAAGCAATTATGAAAAATGAACAAAGGGTCAATTCTTTTATTTTTAGTACTTTTCCGGATATTATTAAAACATACATAAGACATTAAGAATGATAAAGGAATACCATGCAACATTAATACATACCTTAATAAAATTTGCATTAATATAGTCTGAATCTTGAGAAGGAGTTTTCAAAGTCAACTTAACTCGGCTATGATCAACTACAAGAAAAAATTTTCAAAAATTATGTTTCATTGACATTTAAGTGTTTTCTGATGAAGCATAATAAATAAAGCTAAGATAGTTAAAAATGTTAGTTAAAAAAATAAAGACTGGACACTGGTAGCTAACTCCTATAAGCCTCACTACTCAGGAGGCTGAGCTATGAGGTGGTTCAGAGACAGTCTGGGCAGCAAAAGTGGAGAATGGCTCCAGTGTTAGACTACTACCCTTGAACAAAAAAGCTCAGGGACTGTGCCCAGGCCCTATGATCAAGGCCTGAAACTGGCACACACACAAATAAATAAATAAATAAATAAATGTTAATAAAAATGAAGTCTAGGTATTTGTAGGCAATTTCTAACATTATACTTTAATATTTTTGGCACTCTTATTAAGCTTAAAAACGAATTTAATGAAATTAAATATAAAGGAAATAAAAGCAGTAGTTTCCTTCCATGCTTTTCCTATCTATACAACTGCCCTAGAGCTTGACTCCAAAGAGATAAAACCAAAAATGGCTACATAAGAGGCATAGAAAATCTGTACCTTAACTTTCCCCATGAACACTAACAAATTATGTCAATAAAATAAAAATCATACCAATACTGTGAAATTTTTATCTAATCGCTTAAACATAATAAAAAATTGCTAAAAAATACACTAAAAATCATAAATACTGTTGTCAAGCAAACAGGAAGCTATTAATTCTATAAGCAGAAAGAATCACTATAATTAAAACTAACATTAGAGTATGCTGAAAATCCCCTATTTACCATTTGTAAAGGTTAGCTCAGTTTCTTTTGTTGTTGTTCTTTTTGTCGGTTGTGGGACTTGAACTCTGGGCCTGGGCGCTGTCCCTCAGCTCTTCAGCTCAAGGTGAGCGCTCTACCACTTGAGCCATAGCACCACTTCCAAGCTCAGTTTTAGACCTAATAATGTACAGACATTTCCCAGTTCTGGGACTTGCCTCCAATATACTGGACATACTAAAAAGTATTACTGGACATGGTCACACAAGCTTGTAAATTTCAGCTCAGGAGGTTGAAGCAAGAAAGACAAAGATAAGACCTGCATAGACAACATAGGGCAGGCCTCACTTCAAAAACAAACCAAAAAAATCAACAACAAAAAGATGATTATGGTAAAAATTCCATTTGTTATAAAAATTACCAAACAATATAAAGAACTTTATTTTTCAGAACCAGTTTATGAGCACTGCCACGAACCTTCCTTCTCTACCTCTGTTCAAAAATCAAAGCTTCCTTTCTATCACAATTTCTCTATGACTCTTATCCCTTCCATTATATTCTTATTAGTATTAATCATAACAAGACAAAACTATCAATGTTCATTTGTATGCATTCTCTATCACCTAGATTGTAATCTCTGAAAAAAGGCAGGGATTTTTGCCAATTTGTTTTTGCATCACAAGAACATAATATATGTGCAAAGCTGTGTGTGTGTGTACACATGTACGTGAGCACAGAGCCTGGGCCTTTAACTCAGGATCTAGTCATTGTCTCTGAGCTTTAGTGCTCAAGTACACTTGAGCTACCACCTGAACCACAGCTCTACTTTCGGCTTTTGAGTTCAGGCTGGCTTTGAACCTTCTCAGATCTCAGTATCCTGCTAGGATTACCAGTATGAGCTACAGGAGCCCAGCTTTTGGTAAAATGAATCAAACTTATGAAAACAGAAACCTTGTTTGGGGGCTGGGAAGGTGGCTCAGTGGTAGAGTGCTCGCCTTGCATGCTTAAGGCCCTGGGTTCAGCACCACATAAGCAGGGGAAAAAAAGCCAGAAGTGGCGCTGTGGCTCAAGTGGTAGAGAGCCACTTGAGCAAAAACAGCACCCAGGCCCAGAGTTCAGGCCCCACGACCGTACCCAAAAAAAAAAATAATAATAAAAAAAAATTTTTTAAAAAGAAACCTTGTGGTTTTTGTAATTCTCTACATGAAAGTCAAAGAAGTAGAGAGATTATCTCTGAGTATGTGCATCAACTAAGGGAACACAGTAAGATTATCTTAATAAAAACTGTCCATGACAGAAAGAAATAAGAGAGGGGGTTTTGACAAGAAATGTACTCACTACCTTATACTTATGGAACTGTAACCCCTCTGTATATCACTTTGACAATAAAATAAAAATAATAATAAAATGTCCTTATACCATACCAGCCTCTACTCTGAGGTATGCAACTGATACAGTCCGAATGTCTACATACCTCTCATATATTTAAACTGATTCCCAATGAAATAGTATTAAGAGGCATGCACTGGTGACTGACATAGCTGTCATTATAAAAATAAAAAAATAAAAAAAAAAAGGCCCAAAGAAGCTTGTTTAACCTTACTTCATGAGAACAGTGAGAAATCACCATCTAAGAACCCAGATGCTAGCCTTTACTAGAGTCCAAAGAAGCTGGGGTCCCTAATCTTGTACTTTCTAGCCTCTTAAATGGCAAGACATATATTTGTATTGTTTATAAACTACAAAGTTTATAACGTTTTGTTATAGCAGCCTGAACAAACCCAAGTAACTTTTGTAAGGAAATTTGGGTATGTTTTTTAAAAGCTTGCTGAATGGCTACTATGCTAGGTTACCAGGAAAAGCTTAGACTGATATAACACTCAAAAACATCATAATAAGGGCTGGGAAGGTGGCTCAGTGGTAGAGCGCTTGCCTTGCATACACGAGGCCCTGGGTTTGATTCCTCAGCACCACATAAGCAAAACCTGAAGTGGCACTGTGGCTCAAGTGGTAGAGCGCTAGCCTTGAGTTGAAGAGCTGAGGGACAGCGCCCAGGCCCAGAGTTCAAGCCCTACGACCGGACCCAAAAACAACAACAACAACAACAACAAACTCATAGTAAGTATTACTGTTATCTCTATGTTACAAACAACAAAATAGCCACAGAAATAGAGTTCAAGTTCTTATAGCTACCAACTGATGAAGTCAGTAGTTGAATGTCTGCAGGCAGAATTCTTCACTATTACACTATACCTAATAGTTTGTTAATTGTTTTGTTTTTTGTGGGGTTTTTTTGGTCGGTCATGGGGCCTGAACTCTGGGCTACCTTGAGCTCTTCAGCTCAAGGCCAGCACTCTACCACTTGAGCCACAGCACCATTCTACCACTTGAGCCACAGCACCACTTCCAGCTTTTTCTGCTTATGTGGTGCTGAGGAATCCAACTCAGGGACTCATGCATGCAAGGCAAGCACTCTACCACTGAGCCACCTTCCCAGCTTTACACCTGTTAATTTTGTTAACACTGGCCATCCACGCATCCTACAGCCAAGAATAATGTGCGACAAAAATAACAGAACAATGAAGGATTCAATCTAGGCAAGAAAACGTGAGGAACAGAGGTAAGAAAACAAGACAGAGGCTATGATTGCAAGAGTTATCGGATTTCAACTTGGAACTGGTCATTGGCATCAAAAGTTAATTAAAACACTGAGAAAAATGAAAACAAACAAACAAAAAAGCCAGCACTGAATCTAGCATTACAAAGTCACTGAAAACTGTATCCAGGCTGTTTTAGACAGAAGTTTTAATAATGACAATAGTTAATTAAGGAATTAATGTCATAGAATGTAGGAATTTTAAGATACTTGAAGGGAAAGAGAAAGACAATTGGCAGCTTAACACGGTAGGCACAAAACAAAATTTCATTTTATAAAAGGGGTCACTTATTTATATCTAAAAATATCTAATATCTAATAATATCTAAAAATATAACTAATATTATTCTTTAAACATAATATCAATCTAAGACATGCTTAGAGGTACATATTTAGACAACTGAGAATAGCAGACATAAAGGTGTTTTGGGTCATTTATGATCCATTTTCATACACAAGTAATCAAGGTTCTTTTGTTAACAGGTAATGGACAAATCAGTGTTCTTACCATTTTATAAAAACAATATTTTATATTGGTTTTTTTTTTTTTTTTTGCCGGTCATGGATCTGAACTCTGGGCCTGAGCACTGTCCCTCAGCTCTTCAGCTCAAGGCGAGCGCTCTACCGCTTGAGCCACAGGGCCACTTCTGGCCTTTTCTGTTTATGTGGTGCTGAGGAATCGAACCCAGGGCCTCATACATGCAAGGCAAGCACTCTACCACTGAGCCACCTCCAAGCCCCTGTTTTATTTTTGAACAAAATAACTTCTTTGAACAAAAGTCTACAAAAATATTTCTCTTGGAATTCTGATACTCAAAAATAATCATTAGAGCAACTGTGATGTTTACATAAGACAAACTAAAACAACTATCATAACGAAAAGCAAGAAGCACAATTATAAATTATTATTTTGTAGTGTACCTTGAGAAAAAGATTATAAATCACAGTCAGGAAGAATAAAGCTGATTTGGTTATAAAAATGCTAATTAGTATTCCTAGTTGTTCTATCAAAGGTATTTAAACTTACATGGCAGTATGTCCTTATATCTGTTCTTTTTAACATTTTCTTCTTTTTCTCCAGTGGCTGTGGGATAAATCTTTTCTGTTCTATATTTGGTAGACAATCTTCTTAATCGCTTAAAATACAAAAAAAAATCAAGTTTAGAAAAACATTGATATTTTCAAAATGTTAATGATTTACAAATAGCTCTTCACTCAATTCTGCTGACCTAATTCCTCAAAACTAATTCTCCTGTTTTTCTAAGCTGTTAATTATCCTTTAATAATTAACCCTAAGGGTCATTTCTTTTTAGCATAAATGCAAATGTAAGAGTAATATTTCTTCCAAATAAGCAGCAAAAGAAAAAACTATAATTAATTTCATATAAAGATACCATTAATAAATGAGCATGAATACTTAACTCTTTCATTTACTCAAGTAACTTGTGTTTTAGTGGAATAAATACCTGACTTTAAAAATCATGATAAAGAGCACAAGTTTCATTATTCCTGTTCTTAATAAACTATGAACATCCATGATGTGAAATCTTTCTCCAAGGCATAAGCTAATGATTACTTATAAAACACTGTAAAACAAAGTCCTTTCATATTGGATTAGAAATGTCCAACAAAGACCAATTCTGCTTGTTCACTGCATTACAGAAGTGGTTTGTGGGTTAGTGACAAATTCTTACCACATATGGCAGTAGGGATGTTCTTTGGGCTGGAATATTTCTGTGTGTCAGTAATATACTTCCTGCTTTCAGAAGAACTGAAAGTCGGCATTGTGAATTGTTAAAGCCTACTCAAATACACTGCTAAAATTTAATTTCAAAGCCATCTACTTTTCTTCAGGATTAAAAACACTGAAAACATTCTGGCTACTAGTCAATAACTTATGAAAAAATCTGATAACTTACTTTATCATCATTTTATTTTTGCTATTTGTGACATTGGTATTTAAACAACTAAGAATTTTTTGTTTGTATTTTTAAAAAATTAGACAAAAGCTTATTTACATAGTATTCTTAGCCCTGACCTAGTCCTTATTTGTTGTATATATGTATGGAAATGTCATACTGTACCAGATTTAAGTACCATATATCAATTAAAAATATTATGAATACACCTTAAAATATTTTCATCAGATAAGACAGTTTGTACAATACATTATGACTTTTGTTTTGTACTTAAAAATCAACAGCAAAGGGCTGGGATGTAGCTCAGTGGCAAAGTGCTTGTCTAGCAAGTGCAACGTCCTGGGTTCGATCCCCAGTACCAAAAAAGAAAAGACAAAAAAAAAATCAACAGCAAATGCCAGATGTGATAGTCGCATATGCCTGTAATTCTAGCTACTCAAGAGACTAAGATCTAAGGAATATGGTTCAAATCCAGTCTGGACAAGAAAGTCCATGAGCCCAAAAGCCAGAAGCAAAGCTAGGACTCAAGTAGTAGAATGCTCACCTTGAGCAAAAAAAGGTCAAGGACAGTGCCCCAAGTCCTGAGTTCAAGCCCAGGACCTGTATAATACATAAATTTTAAAAATCAATAGCAAGGAAATTCTACCAAACTATATTAAAAGTTATTTTTAAGTAGACAGTTATTCCCTACAAAAAAAAATCCCCTCTACACTTCAGCCATCTCAATTAAAATTCTGAATTTTTAGCTTTCCAGTTATATAGACAATGAATACATTTAAAACCTAAGTGTCACAACTTCTGTAAGAAGAGATTAGTACATAAAATGGCTCAATAAATGTTTACTAATATTACTGAAACTCAGATGTTATTTGCTACCTCAGGTTCATAATATTCACATACTCTGGGTCAATTTTATCTGACTATAGATGTTACAGCTTGTGCATCAAATTTGAGCTGGCTTCGGAATTACCTGGAAGGCTAAACTATTGGGCTCTATCCTGAGAGCTTCTATTCAGGATTTGAGATAAAATATGAGAGTTTTAATTCTTAGCTAAGGTGATTCTAAGTAGGTGATGCTGCTGTGACCTAGCTTTGAAAACAACCAGCATAAGGTGTTTAGGTTCTACATTAGTAGTCATTAGAAGTACTAACTGACTGACTTGAGGGAATGGATATTTCTCTCTCTCTCTCTGTGCCAGTTCTGGGGCTTTTACTCGTTCCTGGGCATGGTGCCTTGTAAGAATTATGCCTGCCTTTGACCTCAGCTCCACCCAGACCTGAGCTCCTCCTTGCCCTGGAGTTCCCACCATATAGCTGGCCCCTTTCTCTCTGCCCAGACGCACCTGACCTCCCATCTACCTCACCTCCTACCCTTCACACCCTTCTGCTACCTAGATAGTGGAGGCTGCCATGTGCTCTCTCTCTGGGAGAAATATGGCTACTCTAATATAAACCTTGTAAGAATCTTTCTCCTGTGCCTGCCTGCCTCCGCGTGGTCCCCAGAGATGGATATGATGGATCCTTTCATCCCTGAGCTTCTTCTGCTCAAGGCTAGCACTCTACCAAGTGAGCCACAGAGCCACTTCTGGTTTTTTATATAGTATAGTACTAAGGAACCCAGGCCAGGGCTTCATGCATGCAAGGTGAGCACTCTCCCACCAAGCCACATTCACAGGCCTGATTTTCAACAATTCTGATTCCTTTTACTTGATGTATAGGCTGACAACATCATATACTCTTCAGAAAGTTGCTTTGTGATTTATCGTAAGAAATTAAAGAATGAATTAGGAGAGAAAAAGGAAGAATGTACTTCAAAAGAAAAATAAGTTGGGGCCGGGTGCTGGTGGCTCACACCTGTAATCCTAGCTACTCAGGAGGCTGAGATCTGAGGATCACAGTTCAAAGCCAGCCCGGGCAGGAAATTCCATGAGACTCTTTTCTCCAATAAAAACCACTAGAAAACCAGAAGTGGTGCTGTGGCTCAAGCAGTAGAGCGCTCACCTTGAGCTGAAGAGCCCAGGGACAGTGCCCAAGCCCAGAGTTTAAGCCCCATGACCAACAACAACAACAAAAAAAGAACTTTGATAGCACCAAAGTTCACTTAATTAGATAAAACAGAAAATGTCTACATAAAATATTGTTTTAAATTCCTGATCACCGGATCACAGCTTTTGTAAAGCTGTCCTAGAAATTTAGCAGGGGGGAACCCCTCTATTTCCGAACATGCTGTAATGAACTAAGAACCTTATTGGAAAGCACATGGTCTAGAGTATATGAGAACAGCACTGAACCAAGAATTAATACTTTATTGCTGAGGGTGGTGGCTCATGTCTTAATTCCATCTAATTAGGAGGCATAGATCAGTGTGATACATTTGGAAAAAGTCACACATGTGTATTCCATAAGAATAATCATCAGTTTCATACTAAAAGAATGTTTTAATGGACCTGTCAATTACCATTTCCTCAGGTTAGTTATGAAGTATGTTAAATGCTGCTTGTCTGATTTCCTAGCTTCTTTTTATTTTCTCATTAAAGTGTAATACTTCAGCGTTATAGAATTGCCACTGTCACCACCAGCCACCTTCCATGCCTTAACACAATAGCTTCACAATTTTGGTCTTGTTGGTAAGTTAATAAAACTCTGGAAGTGTTATTTCCTTTGGAAAGCCTTTCTTAAACATTTCCTCTTTAAACTGCTTCTCAACCCACTGCAGTGAGTCTGTAATACACCATTCTAGTATGATTTAGGAAATCTGGCCTGACTCTCCACTACACTACAAACCTGAAAGCAAAGACTGGAGAGAGAGAGAAAGAGAAGAAGGGAGAGGGGGGGGGGGTGGGGGGGGGAGGGAGAGAGAGAGAGAGAGAGAGAGAGTGTGTGTGTGTCTTGCTCAAAGCTAGTGCTCTAATACTGTGTGTGTGTGTGTGTGTGTGTGTGTGTGTGTGTCTTGCTCAAAGCTAGTGCTCTACTACTTGAGCCACAGCTCCATTTCTAATTTTTTGATGGTTAACTGCAGATGAGTCTCATGGACTTTCCAGCCCAAGGTGGCTTCCAAGTGCTTAACCTCCTTTCTAATTTTTTGATGGTTAACTGCAGATGAGTCTCATGGACTTTCCAGCCCAAGGTGGCTTCCAAGTGCTTAACCTCCTGAATACCTAGGATTACAGGTGTGAGCCATCAGTGCCTGGCCAAGACTAGACTTTTTTAAAATTAGATTTCACAGATCAATATCTAGTGCAAAGCAAGTTCTATTAAAGAATTATTTATTAGGCTTTCTCACATAAAGTCACAGGAATTGCTTTAATACATAGATGTTCTTCTCCCTCCTTCCTCTCACTGCTTTTGGCTGAGATATTAAATTTGGGATCTTATACATCCTAGACAAATGCTCTACCTATGACTTATATAGCCCTTGTCCTAACATTAGAATTTTTATTTTGTAGACAGGGTCTCACTATGCAAGGCCAGTCTGTCCTTAAACTCACCATCCTACACTTGTCTCCTGAGTGTTGGGCTTACAGGCATGCCCTACTATCTTAAGCTTCACATTATGGAGTTATTGATACAAACAAAAAAATGGATTTAGTATTGTTTTAAAGTTTCAAATAAATTACTTGTTCTCTGTTTAAAATGCAAAGCCAAATGATTTTCACAGGACTTCAAAAATGACAAGCAATGTGACTACCATCTTAAAATACTTGTTTGTGCATCAAAATTTGAATTCTTACAAGAAGTTTCAGTATCTAAGGACTGAAGCTCCTGTAAATGTGTTGTTTGAAGTTTGTTAAATTTCTCCAGAATCAAATAGTTAATTGTCTATTGGGTTGTTCACTATATGCCTCTGGGCATCTCAGACATATCTAAATTGCATGTCTGTTCAGTAGTTCTTTAAGCCAAAACCCTAGGAATCACCTTTGATTCCTTTCCTTCTTTCCTCTCCAATCCAACAATAGTCTTTATTAGTTAGTTCTACCTCTGAAATATATTTAGTCTCTTCCTGCTTGGTGAACAGACTCAACTTAAGAATGTATGTAGACAGACAAATGTTAATTTGTTGGTAAGATTTTAAATAAAAACAACATAAAAACACAAAAATAGAACTGAAATGGAATTTAGTACTCAAATTCTGATAATAATATAAAATATAAATTACAGAAGCTTAAAATCTTTGTTACTACATCACGTATCACTGTCACAAATTCACTACTTACAAA